TCCTTCCTTCCCTTCTTCTTTCCTTCCTCCTATCTATCTATTTATCTATCTCTATGCCCAGTGTGGGCCTCAAATTCACACTTTCTGAGATGGTTTCCATGCTCCACCCACTAAGTCAGCCAGGTGCCCCTCAAAGTGTAATGGCTTTTCATTGGCTGAGTTGTGACTGTCTCTCACTGGCTGGGCTGTTGCTTGCTCAGAAGAAAATCTTCCTAGGCCTAGGGCAGTAAAAATACAGGCTTCTTCCAAGTGAGCATGTAAAGGGCTGACAAGGAGTGTTATTGTGTGAGAGCTCCCCCTTCTGGCCTCCCAACTCTATTTTAGTGAAATTTCCCTTTATTAATTTCACACCTCTCAACAGGACTTAACTGGCTTTGGCCGTCTCCTCTGTAACTCACTTTAGATTATTTAATTATTCCAAGCTTGCCTCTTCTCTGCTTTCATGGGACACCTCCTCTCTCCCCAGGGACAGGTTTTCTCTGGGCTTCCAAGTTACCTGCCTTTGACTTCTAGCTCCACTTTTGTAGGATGTGATCAAGTCTAATGGAGGGAGGTGGCTTGGGTTTGGATCCCTGCCAGCTGTGTGACCTTCAGGCTGGGACTAACCCTCTCTGGACCTCAGGTCACCCGCCTGACAATGGATATGCTAATATGTGCACTAATCTGCTCTGGGTGGGGGATTTAGTCAGTTGATTTGCTTAGATTTCTCAGACTGAGCACACCAGTGTGGGAATTAGAGTGAGAGTGAGGCATTTGCTTCAGGTACAACATTTAAGGGAGTCCCAAAACTCAAGACACAGAATGCTTTAGTGCAATAATTTTTGAAATCAAAATCAATGCAAAAAGTTCAGATAAAGACAGGATCAGTAAACCCGATCTTTCCCTTTTGCCTCAGGCGCTGATATGGCTTTGCTCCATGCAGCACTGTTACTGATCCTGTTTTTACTTAACATTTAAGTGTTTTATTTATCACAGATTTTAAGAGTTAATTTTTATTAATTTTTATTTTTTTTAAAGATTTTATTTATTTGACAGAGATCACAAGTAGGCAGAGAGAGAGGAAGGGAAGCAGGCTCCTCGCTGAGCAGAGAGCCCAATGCGGGGCTCAATCCCAGGACCCTGAGATCATGACCTGAGCCGAAGGCAGAGGCTTTAACTCACTGAGCCACCCAGGCGCCCCTAATTTTGATTTTAAAATAGTGCATTAAAATTATTTATTTAGATGACAGCTTTCGGTGCCCCTTAAATTTTGCATGCCTCACCCTCAAGCTGGGTACACAGGAGGTGCTCAGTAAGTGTTATGGTACCTACAATATCTACCTTTATTATGTAAAGCCTCCCTCTGAATTGACTGGTTTCTCTTTATTGGGCTTTTTGACTGAAGTTGTACCTCTGGCGGTTTTCAGCTCTGAATCTGTTGTCTAGAACATGGACCCCAAAATAGCCTACACTAAATGAAAGTGAAAGGCTAGAATCTCCCTGGAGAACTGTGGAGCAAGGTTTAACTGTGTCAGGGGCTTGGGGAGATTGGATTGCTGTGGCAGGATTATTATGTTTGACCAGCTTATCTCTCTCCCCTCCATTTCCCCCCAGCATTCCAAATCCCCAAATCAAAACACAGCTGAGAAAGACTGATGATACCAGGTATAAGCAAGGATTGGGAGTAACTGGGACTTTCACAGGGTGCCCAGTGGGAGTGTAAAGCAGAACAATTTAGGAAAACTGTCACGATCTACTAAAATTGAACATATACATGACCTACAGCCTACCATTCCATTCCTTGGCATTTGCCCTAGAGAAGTGAACTTATGTTCATGAAAATACTTCTACAAGCTTCATTAATAACGGCCAAACACTAGGAACAACCAAATATCCGTTAATGGGTGAATGGAGAAATTATATTGGCTATATTGCGGTATAGCCACACCGTGGACTACTACTCAGCAAGGAATAATAACTATCGATACAGGCAGCACATGGACAACTCTAAAAACAACAACAACCAGTTTTTTGAGCAAAAGAAGCCAGATACAAAAGACAAACTAGTGCATGCTTCTGTTTTTATGAAATTCAAGAGCACAACTAATCCATAATTATAGAAATACAAATAGTGTTTTTGCCTGGTTAGGGGTCACGGAGAAGAGGGTGGTTCACCTGAGAGGGGCACAACAGAACTTTCTGGGATGATGGAAATGTTCTGTATCTTCATTGGGCAACTGTCACTGGCTGTCAATCTTCAAAACTCAGTGGACCTTTTCTTTTTACTATAAACTTTTACCTCAGTAAAGTACGGGGAGTGTGGGGGTGGTGGTGGTGGTGGTGGGTAAGGTGGAGAAAATATAATAGAAGGGAAAAGTAAAAATAATAATAATACGAAGAAAAAGAAAAAAAAGTTTTATGACTAAAACATCCTGGTTTGGGTTTTGTGGCCTGAACCTGCATGGCCACCAGCACAGAGTCTGACCCAGGACAAGACTCTCAGCAAATGGGAACTGTCACGGCGGGTGCAAACTGTCTTCACCCTGCAGTCATTCCGACCTCCCAATCCTTTTCAGGACTCTTTCAAGGCCTCCACCCTGGACTACCAAGCGGCCGCGGGCACACGCCCACTTCAAGAGCCCTGAATTCCATGCCAGGAGTAGAAGCCACGTAACAGAAAGGCGAGACACTCGCCGAAAGCAAATCATCCCCGACTTCAGCTGCCAGTACTAAATATGGAGACGCCCGCTGAAGGCAAACCGCCAGTCACGTGACAGCGCACGGCCTCACGTCGGCCTCAGCCCAGGGCACCTACTTTCAGATTGACCAATGAACCCGAGGCAAAAGGCACGCCCTGTTTCCTCTCTTCACCAATAGCCTCCAGACGCCTCCTGCAGGACCCAATCATCGCTTCCGCCTTTCTTGAATGAAAAGGCAACAGTCCACTAAGCAGAGCCGCAGTCGGACGTAGGAGGCAGGAAGCCCTACAGCTCGTGCTGGGGCGCGCGACCGGTAACCGGAGTCGGACGGCACTTCTCGCAGCACGCGGAGGCGAACGGGGTACCAGGTGAGCAATGGGCCCGGGGCGCGGGCTGCGGTGCAGAGACTTCGGACTTGCGGGCGAGCTGGCGAGGGGAGACGCCGGGGGCTAAGGGGAAGAGGAAGAGAAGCGGGCGCGAGATAAGGCGGGGCGGGGTGGTTGAGGCGTCCGCCGCGCGGCTTCGGCCGTTGAATGCCGTAGCGCATGCGCAAAGGGGGACCGTGGCTGTTGGCGGGCGAGGACCATGCCCGCTTCCGGGAGTAGGCTGTCATGGCGGCCCACGAGTCGAACCCGATTTGGAGAGAAAGCCTGTCTGTCCAAGAAGACCGCCTAGGCCGTTTGGGGAGGGATTTGGCGGGGGGGGGGGGGGGCGACGCCAGGGTCTGGGGTTGCGGTGGCAGAAACCCGAGCTTGTAGACGGGACAGGCTTCTCTAAGTCCAAGGGACTTGCCCCCACTTTGCTTTGTTTTTGCTCTGTGTTTAGGGGATTCGGGGTTCCAGAGATTTAGAGCAAAAAAGATGTCTCAGAGGCAAACTGAGGTGGAAGTCTTCCCTGGGGGCACTTTGACAGTGAATGGGTACCCGTGGGTGTATCTAAATTGTCACTTTTCTGGTGTCAGCTTTCAAGTTTATCTGCTCCTGGGGCCTCAGCCGTCGCAGCTATCCCCGCTGCGTGGGCAAACCCCAACAGTCCTCGTCCTCTCTAATTTGTTTTGAGCTGTACATGTTGTCTAGCCACTTTCTAGAAAAGTTTGTGCCTCAAACTCAGGCTGTCCTGAATCTGTCCCCCTATAAGAACAAAACGATTTATTTTGATCTGTATCTTTTAAATGCACCATCTCTTCCTTGGTCACCAGGTTTGACGGTCAGAGTGGGTGACTCTAATTCTTCTCTGCCCAGGGAGTACCCTGCCCTGCTGAATGTTCCACCTTCTTTCCTCATAACACCCCCATGCTGGTTAAGCATGCAGTCCTCTTTTGGTGACTGGTTTTCCCTGTTTCTGGTCTCATTCCCCACTCATCTTCTACTCTGGAGTAAATTGCTCTGGGACAACTGAGTCGCTCAAAAATTTAATCAGCGATTCCCTATAGGTTAGCATATAAAGTATGAATGCTCTCAACTTGAACAGCTTTCCCAGCTTTGTCCTTTGCCTCTACTTCTACCAGCCAGTCTTGCTCTCCATGCCTCACAAGGGCCTGGTGTTTTGGGACTGACCTTTCCTAGCTCCTGTTCTTTTCTCTGCTGCCTGGGAACTAACCCCTTCCTGTTCAGATTACTTTTTTTTCAAGAATTAGTAAGGGTGTATGCATACTTTAGTGCTTAAACTCTGTCTTGAGGCCTCAATTCTAATTTTGTTCATTCAGCCCTTGTTGTTAAGTGCTTATCTGTTTTAGGCTCTGGGCAAAAGGGCTATCAGGCATGACCTTAAAAAGGGTGCTTTTTTAGTTGGCCTGCAAGAAGTACCCTTCTGGAGCAAGAGGTCTGAAGGAAGTAGGGGGATTGATGACCATTGTGGGCAGCAAGAACAGCAAGTGCAAAAGTGCAGAGGCGGGTCTGAGGCACAGCAGCAAGGCCAGTGAGTAAGAGTGATGGAGGAGATGAGGTCTGAGCATGGAGGGGGTCGGTTCGTGTAGGGTCTGGTAGGTCATGGTGAGGACTTGAGTTTTAGTCTGAGCACAGTGGGAGCCTGTGGAGAGTTTTGAGCAGAGGAGTGACATTCTCTGACATCACTTTAATAGGCTTCCTCTGGTTGTTGTGGGGAGAGAAGATGGGAGGGGGATGGAAAACAGGGAGACCAGTGAGGAGACTATTAGTATAAATCCAGGCAAGAGACGATGGTGCCCAAATACCCATCAGCTGACAATGGGTGAACTGGTAGCCCTACGGGGGAACGTTCGGCCATGACAAGGAACACGGTACTGATGCATACCACAAAGCGGATCAATGTCAAAGCATGCAGAATGAAAGAAGCTGGATGAATGGTGACATATTGTGATTCCATTTATGGGATGTCTGAAACAACAAATTCATAGAAAAAAAAGTAGGTTAGCAGTGGCCAAAGGGGTTGGAAGGGGGAGGATGATAGGTAAAGGATACGGTCTTTTTGAAGACCAACTGAAATGTGTAATGCATTCCAACTGTAGTGATCGTTGCACATATTTCTGGTAGAGCATGTGAATATATCAGTAAAGGTGTTCTAATTGTATTTTAAAATTTATTTATTTATTTATTTTTAAAGATTTTTATTTATTTGACAGAGAGAGATCAGGAGTAGGCAGGGAGGCAGGCAGAGAGAGAGAGGAGGAAGCAGGCTCCCTGCCAAGCAAAGAGCCCAACGCAGGACTCGATCCCAGGACCCTGAGATCATGACCTGAGCCGAAGGCAGATGCTCAACCCACTGAGCCACCCAGGCGCCCAAAGCTGTTCTAATTTTAAAAAAGAAAGGTGAGGGGGCATCTGGCTGTCTCAGTCAGAAGAGCATGTGACTCTTGATCTTGGGGTCCTGAGCTTGAGCCCCACATTGGGTGTAGAAATTATTTAAATAAACATATAAAAAGAAAGAAAGGTGAAGGTAACTTGGGACCAGTGAGGTAGCAGCGGTAAGAAGTGGCCTGATCACCCTATTGGGACCTGTTGGCTGACTGGACAGGGGGAGAGAAAGAACCAGTGAGAGAATGGAATTGATTTTTTGAGAAGGAGGTCTGCAGGAAGAGACAGAGGGTTTTGGTCTGGGTACTTTGAGTTCAGGTTCCGAGGGGAGATGTAGGCAAGGCAGCTGGATAACAGAGGCTGTGGAAGGGAGCTGGCAGTGGATAGAGACATAAGTTTGGGAGGTCTTCCTCACAGAGGTGGTTAAAACCCTGGGGCTGGATGAAGTCACGGAGAGAATGAGAGAGGGAGGGCCGGAAAGTGGGCCCAGGACCCTCCGCATCCAGCTCAGAAAGAAGAGTGACTGACTGCTTCAGCGCTTCCTCCCTCTAGACTTGGAGGCTAGGGTGGGATTGGGAGTACAAAAGATCATATTCTCACTCCTGGGTCGCTTGTATGTAGCTGACACCCAGTAGGTGCTGGGCATGTATTGGATAAAATAAAGCCAGGAGGTAAGCAGCCTTTGTATTAATTCTGTTTACCATCTCAGGCCTATTTTTATTGGCCTGGGCCCAATGGGAGGCCTGTTCATGAGAGTACTTAATTATTCCCCTGTGCAGACCACAAATAGCGGGCGGAGCTGGGGCAGGGCAGACTCTGCTCTCTCCAGCATCCTGGCAGCCACCTCTCCTGGTCTCAGGGGGCCTACCCTGTGCAGGCCTGGTGGACTTCTTGGGTGGCGGTGGGGAGGGAGCTCCTTTAGGTTAGGTGGGCTGAGGTGGGTCATTAGAGTTTTCGTGGTGAGGGCAAGGTGCTGCAGAAGCTTGGGGTAGGGGCTTGGTGAGTCTGAGCAGCCAGGCAAGGCTGGGGGTGGTTCGAAAGGGATAGTGTGGAATGAGTTGTGCAAGGGCCAACAAGGAGGGATGTAAGAACCATAGGGAAGTGTGGGGATTTCACTCTGAGAACAGAGGGAGGTCCTGGGAGGCGGAGGGGTGTGTGCATGTGTGGGTGTGGGGAACAGGGGCCTCGCCAAGATGAGGTGGCTTAGAGGAGGGCAGGGTGTGACCACAACAGGCTGAGGCTGGGGGTGCTGCCCAAGTGGAGATGGTGGGACTTTCTGCAGGAGTCAGGGGGCTGGCGGGGGGCCATGAGGGAAAGGGGTCAGAGAGCGATGGCCATCAGCTTCATCATCGGGGTCCTTTCTGTGCCAGTTTGGAAGACGGCTCCAGTGCCTTGCCCTTCTTGGACCTGTGTCAACAGACTGCAGCTGCTGGGCGGCCTTCCTCGATGACCCTCAGTGGATGGGTTTTTTCATCCTCCTCCTTCAGCTCTTCTTCCCTCTTCTTTTCTCAGCAGCATGGCGGAACAGGATGTGGAAAATGAGCTTCTGGATTATGAGGAAGATGAAGAGCCCCAGGCTCCTCCGGAGAGCACTCCTGCTCCCCCCAAGAAAGACGTCAAGGGTTCCTATGTTTCCATCCACAGCTCTGGCTTCCGGGACTTTCTGCTGAAGCCAGAGCTCCTGAGGGCCATAGTGGACTGTGGCTTTGAGCATCCGTCCGAGGGTATGCCTCCCTGGTTCTCCCTGCCAGGAACCTCCTCTGAGCACTCTCACTTTGGCCTCCTCAGCCACCTGGCGAGGAGCCTGCACACAGGGAGCATCCGGTTTCTGGTCGCTCACACGTGCTCTCTCCCTCAGTCCAGCACGAGTGTATTCCGCAAGCCATCCTGGGCATGGACGTCCTGTGCCAGGCCAAGTCTGGGATGGGCAAGACAGCGGTCTTCGTGTTGGCCACCCTGCAGCAGATTGAGCCAGTCAGCGGACAGGTGGGTGGGGGCCCTCCCTGTGGGGCCCAGTGCCCGAGGCATCAGGAGCTACAGCTCCCTTGTTTGGCCTTCTCGTTCCTTTGTGCTCTTTGTGGGCTTTTAAGATTGTGACAGAATCCCCCCAAAATGGAAGCTGAGGGGGAAAACTGAAAAGTGCCCACGGTTTTACTTGCCAGAGATACAGGAGTTAATTTGTCATGTGCGTTTCTAGATTGTGCAGGTTTATTTAGGTGAGATTATATTGAATAAGGATTTGTTACTACGGTTGCTTCTAACAGTTACTTCCTCACACAGGAATTTTGCTGGAGGAGAATTGAGGTGCATTCCTGTGCTGTGCTTTTGTCACACTGGGGCACACATCCTTGGACTGTGTCATTGCACGATCCCTTGTTTCCTTACAGTACCGGAAGGAGAGGGAGATGAAGTGGGAGGTTGTGGTGTGCTTGCAGCAGTTGGCATCATGGGCATGAAGGCAGGAGCAGCGTCCTTCTTCGGTGGTCATGGGCCAGCCAGAGAGCAGACTCTCAGGAAACCATTAACATGGGCTACCTCACCAGCTAGGTCTCACTGGATCCTGGCAGTGGGAGATGGACCTCGTTAGCTGAAGGGACTTAGCTGAAGGGACACAGGAAGTGAATGGCAGGTGAAGGGTGGGGCGAAGGTAGAGCATCAGACTGGCCCTTCCAGCGGCTGGAGGTGTGGGGTGAGTCTGGCAGGCACCCTGGAGGGATAGGGGCCCAGTGGGCCTGGGCCCCCATGAGAGAACACAGGCTTGGGCTCTGGCTGGGACAGGACTTGGGACACTGCCTTGAGTGTCTCTCTTCTACCCGCCCTGCAGGTTTCAGTCCTGGTCATGTGCCACACTCGGGAGCTTGCCTTCCAGATCAGCAAAGAGTATGAACGCTTCTCCAAGTACATGCCCAGTGTCAAGGTGAGCCTTCTCAGCCTGGGCTGGGTGTGCTGCATGGTCCTCTGCAGACTTGCTCTCCCGGCTCTGGCCCGGCCAGTGTTTACCGTTTACCAAGCTTGGCTGCAGAGGCTGCCTTTGAGGTTTGTGGTGGTTTATGCTCCTTAAAAGCCTGCTGAATTATGCATGGCCCCCAGAGGCCTGTGCTGGTCCCAGCCGTGGGGCTGCTTTCCACCAGAGTCAGGGCCAGGCTCTCAGGCCTTTCTGGTCCTCAGGCTCTAGGCCCAGGGGACTAGGGGGCTGCTGGAGCAGAAGCTGGCAGGGCTCCAGGCTGGGTGGCCATCAGCCTGGAGTGCTTAGACAGGCAAAAGCACCTTTCTCTCCACCCACATAGGTGTCTGTGTTCTTCGGGGGCCTTTCCATCAAGAAGGATGAAGAGGTATTGAAGAAGAACTGTCCCCATGTCGTAGTGGGGACACCAGGCCGAATCCTGGCACTAGTGCGGAACAGGAGCCTGAACCTGAAGAACGTGAAACACTTCGTGCTGGACGAGTGTGACAAGATGCTGGAGCAGCTGGGTGAGTGTCCTGCTTGGGTCTGGGAGCTGCCAGAGGCCCCCCCAGCCACACCCTCTCCGCCCTCACAGTCCCCCTAACCCCCAGACTTCAGAGCCAGGTGGGCCCTGACAGGATAGGTCAAAGGTTGCTCCAGAGACGGGGTCAGGTGGGTAGCTGGCGCCTAGGTCTTCTATAAATGATTTTAGGGAAAGTTCTAGCATGGGCAGAGTGCCCTGCTGCTTCTGAGCCCAAGCTGAGTGGGGCCACGGGGCCCAAATGAGCTGTGTCCGGGCCTGTGTTCACATCAGCCCTTGCGCCTGCTGAGTTAGTTCTCGCCCCCCACCTGCCCTGTGAGCGCCGCCAGGGCCAGTGGGAGATGGGGCTTGTGTCCCGGGAGGCGGCTGCAGCTCTCACCCCAGCGGCTGTCTTTGCCTCAGGCTCCCCTCCCTGAAGCGTGGCTCGAGGCGCGCTGGCACGGCTGCTCCGCTCTGGCGGCGTGTAAGTGGATGGCAGCTCCTCCCGCGCCTGTGCTCACCCCGAGTCCAGCCCCTCAGGCACCTGGGACTCGCCCCTCTCTCCACTCCTCGGCTCACACCGCCCTCGTCCTGGCGCTAACGGCTCCCTGGCACAGGTTGGGAGGAGCTGGGGCTGGTCTCGGGTGGAGGTCCTGGTCTGCCAGGCACTCAGCCCACCTGCTTGTCGCCCTCCCCATGCAGACATGCGGCGGGACGTGCAGGAGATCTTCCGGCTGACGCCCCACGAGAAGCAGTGCATGATGTTCAGCGCCACCCTGAGCAAGGAGATCAGGCCTGTCTGCAGGAAGTTCATGCAAGACGTGAGTGGGGCGGGACAGCGGCCGCGGCCTCCGTGTGCCAGCTCTGGCCCTGCTGGCTTCTGGTTCTGAGCTGTTGCTGCTCCAGGACACCCACGCTCCCCTCACTGTGTGAGAATGCTGGGGGGCCCAGGGGCCTGCCTTCCCTCCTGTGTCTTGTCAGACCAGAGCTTAGGTCACCTGTTGGGAGAAAGGCGTTTACAGGGGGACAGCAGGCCCTCCGGGAAGCCTCACAGCATGGAGTCCTTCGCTAGAAGATTCTGGCCAGGCCAGAAGCCCAGAAGTAAACCCCGCCTGCCCCTTCCTGCACAGCCCATGGAGGTGTTTGTGGATGATGAGACCAAGCTCACGCTACACGGACTGCAGCAGTACTATGTCAAGCTCAAGGACAGTGAGAAGAACCGCAAGCTCTTTGATCTCTTGGATGTGTTGGAGTTTAACCAGGTGACACAGTGTGGGCCTTCCTGGGGTCTGGGCCTGTGTGAGGCTGGTGCAGGGGGCTCTGACCCTGACCACCCTTCCTGCCTCCCTCCCTTGCAGGTGGTGATCTTCGTGAAGTCAGTGCAGCGCTGCATGGCCCTGGCCCAGCTCCTTGTGGAACAGAACTTCCCGGCCATCGCTATCCACAGGGGCATGGCCCAGGAGGAGCGGTGAGTGCGTGCCGCCCTCAGAGGCCCCTAGGCAGGCACCTCATGGGGAGTGTCACCCAGGAACCCCGTGTCTGATGGCCGCCTCTTGTTTCTCCTGCACCCAGTCTGTCGCGCTATCAGCAGTTCAAAGACTTCCAGCGGCGGATCCTGGTGGCCACCAATCTGTTTGGCCGCGGGATGGACATTGAGCGAGTCAACATCGTCTTCAACTACGACATGCCCGAGGACTCAGACACCTACCTCCACCGAGTGAGTGGTTCCACAGAGGTGTCCCTTCCTTGAGGCCCCCCTCCCAGGGTGGGGACGCATGAGCACGTGGCCCTGCTTGTCCTCAGACTCCCAGGTTAGATTGTGTCTCTGGCCTGACCCCCCGCTTTTCTCACCCTGCAGGTGGCCCGTGCAGGTCGCTTTGGGACCAAAGGTCTGGCTATCACTTTTGTATCTGACGAGAATGATGCCAAAATCCTCAATGACGTTCAGGACAGGTTTGAGGTGAACGTGGCCGAACTTCCTGAAGAAATCGACATCTCCACATATAGTAAGTGTGGGGCCAGGCCAAGGGGCTGGGCCCAGACAGGAACCCCGTTCCTCATCTCACTGGCCTCCCCTCTGTGTCTTACAGTTGAGCAGAGCCGGTAACCACGCGCTGATGGCCAGAGCTGCCCTGTTTCCCGAGTGCTGCTTCCAGGCTTCTTTCTAGGTGCCCGTGGGCCTGCCTTCTTACTGTTTAAAAGCTGTAGATTTGTGTAAGAGTAAAGTTTTATTACGGAATCCTGGCTCCCACCCTGTCTGTCAGTTCTCAGCATTTCACAGATGTAGCAGGCCTGGCCAGTGAGCTCCAGCCATCTCGCACAGCCAGCTTCGGTATCAGTGTGATATTTAATTTTTAAGTGTCAACATTGAAAGGTTTATACAGATTAAAAAAAAAAAAACAAACATACAATATCCACAACCTTCACAACAGTGAGAGCCTTCTGCCTCCAGGGGCAGATGGGCCTCTGTACCGTGAGCGTCAGGCACTGGGGCTAGGAGGGGCCCTGCCCTTCTCCCACCCCTGGCCTCAGTCTTAGCTTAAGGGACAGCTTGAGCCCCAGCACCTTGGCCTTTTGCTCTATGGCAAGGACAGATGAGAGGAAAGGCCAGGCCGGGCACAGAAGTCCTGTATGTCCGGGCCTTGTGTAGCGGGGAAGGGGGCTGTAGCCCTCGGCCAGCTTCTGCCCTCACGTTGGGTCCTGGCTGGGCTGGAGCAGAGAGGCAGCCAGAAGCAGGCCTGGCAGGTCCAATCCCACCTGGCTGGGTGTCCTGGGGTCAGTGCCAGATTATAGCTGCTGCCCCCCTGCTTTCTATCAAGCACGTGGCAGCCAAGGCAGGAGGGCAGAGGGAGCAGAGTGGTGAGGGAGGAGGGGACAGTCTTTGGCATGTGCAAAAGCTGCTGAGGCCACAGGAGCCACTGGCCTGGCCAGACCTGCGCTGTCACATACCGGACTCGGAGGGTTTGTGGGCCTGGTGAGAAAGGAGCACCATGAGAAGGGAGCCTGGTTTGGGTGCGCTCTAGCCCGGCACCCCGACCCCGGGCTCAGCCCTTACCTGGGTCTGATTGTGGCTGGTGCCAGTCGTGGATGTGGTGAACTCCGAGTACTTGTTCCCTGTGACCCTGCCGGCCCACCTTCTATACTCCTCCCTTACCTGTGGGGCCCAGGGTGCCAGGTTAGGGAAGGGGCAGGCCCCAGGACTGGGGGCCCCATGCACCCTGCCCATAGCGGCTGCAGCCCACCTTCTTGTTGAGCAGGCAGTGGAGCACGAAGAGGAAGAGGCCTTGCAGGCAGTTGAGGATGGTGAAGGTGTAGCTCAACAGCCAGCTCTGTGGGTTGAAGAGGAAGAAGCCAAAGCCCCAGGTGCAGCCCAGCACAAAGAGCTGAGCCATAGCCGTGATGGTCAGCACCCTGCAGGGAGCACAGGCTGTCAGCGGGGAAGGCCCCCCCCCCTCACACACCCTCCTCTCCCTGCCAGCCCCCTCCCGGCCCCAGCTCTCACCGGGCCTTCTTTAGTTTCTTCAGGTCTGGGTTGATCTCAGAAAACTTCTGTGTGAGCTTCCAGACAGTAGTCACGAAGATCACAGCATTGCACTGGCGGGCAGCACAGAATTTACATGAGGGGGAGCCCTTGGAACTGCAGGGAGGGAACAGGGCTCCTAGGGCTCCTTGTGGGGCCACGTGCCTCAGGCTGTGGAGGTGGGGGCACTTACCAGAACGATGAGGGTCACAGGTCCCACGAAACTCCAGAGGAAGCCACCTTCAGGGTTCAACCAGCAACTGGGTGAGAGGGGAGGGTGCTGTCAGAACCACGGAGGGGCAGGGCACTGTGGCCCGGACTGGGGTCCCTGCCCTCCCTCCCTACCACTGGCCTGCACTCACTAGTTGTTGCGGCCATAGCCGTCACTTTTGACGGCCGCGGAGACACCCACGATGAGCAGGGGCACCCCGTAGCCAATCAGGCAGAGCTGCCACTTGCTCAGGCCCTGTCCCTGGAACACCCGCACCACCAGGAAGTAGAGCTCTACTCCCTCGAGGCTCATGAAGCAGAAAGCGGCCAGGAAGAAGTAATGCAGCAGTCCCGCCACCAGGCGGCAGCGCAGCCCCACCTGCGGGGCGGAGGCGGGGCGACGTCAGTGCGGGCGGGGCCGGCTGGGTCCGCCCTCGCAGAACCCTCCCTCAGGTGGGCGGTGCCGCGGGGTGAGGGGCTGCGCGACGAGCGGGCGGCGGGCGCAGACCGCGCGCGATGGCCAAGCAGCGTGCCACCCGGGCTTGTGGTCCTCACCGAGCCCCGGGAGTGGGCGGAGCTCTCCCTGTCCCGGGCCTCGCTGAGACAGCGGTCTGGTGAGGGGGCGACCCTCCACCGCGTCGGACCTCACCTTTTGGATGCTTCCTTCCTTGTTCTCGATGCCCGCCAGGAAGATGGCGGAGCCCACAAAAAGGCAGATGCAGAGGTGCAGGTGCACGGTGGTGCGTGAGCCCTGGATGGGCCGCACCAGTAGGAAGGTGAGAATGCACAACAGCAGGCAGACTAGCGACACCGCCAGCCCCACCTTGGTGATCAAGGCCAACTTCGGGTCCTAGATGCAGGGTGGGGTGCGCGGGGCTCAGTCAGCGCCCTGAGGACTTCCTATCCTCATGGGCCCCACCACCGAGACCCATCTGGGGCCTGCCTTGCAGGTCTCTGATCAAGCTGCTCACCTAACCCCCGAATCCTCTGCCCTCAACACCTGAGCAAGCCTGCTGAGTGTCTCTCATCCTAAATATCACATCTCCTCCCCGCAACAACCATGGAGGAAGTAGGGGTCCCCCGTTCCTCCTGGTGGGTCTCCCCACTAAACACCCAGACTTCTGAGAAGGTCCCCAGGGAAGCTTCAAGGCCACATCCTTCTTTTCTAATACTGATGGTCCCATCTTTCTGATCTTCGTCTCCCTCATCTCAGATTTTACCCCTTCACCACCTGCCATATTGTTAACTCACTGAAACCCACCTTTTTGTCCTTCCTGGACCTTTGGCCTCAACCACAGCCTCCCCTACTCTGCCTGGCCCATTCCAATTAAACTTGTGGACCAGCTTGCCTATGGATCTCTGAGGCCACCAACAGAAAGTTGTGCTCGCTTAGGAGCGTTTAGTAATATTTTACAACTGAAAACAATTTGAAATGGACAGTCCGAAGGGGCTCCAGCCAGAGCAGGGTCTGCAGTGCCAGGCTATACCGTTCAGTTGCTGAACCATGGGGAGGTCTGTGGGGGGGTGTGGGTGCAGGGAAGGGGCTGGGGGCCATGAGGTGGGGCTTCCAGGCTGTGTGACAATATAGGGCCATTTGGGGCATATCATCAAGAACCAGCTGCCTTCAGGTCATGATCCCAGGTCGTGGGATGGAGCCCGGCATCGGGCTCCCTGCTCAGCCGGAGGCCTGCTTCTCCCTCTCCCACTCCCCCTGCTTGTGTTCCTTCCCTCGCTGTCTCTTTCTCCGTCAAAAAAAAAAAAAAAAAAAAAAAAAAAGAACCAGCTGCCTATATTAACGTAGGCCAGCCTGGCCAGCTGTGGGCTGTTGAGGGCGGCCCCTGGCTGCTCACCTCTATGTCATAGTGGGCCATGAGGATGGCAAAGCTGCTCAGGTGGTTGCACTGGCAGGTGGTGCTGCCATTCCTGGTGCCCAGAGTTCGGCAGCCTGTGGTGGCCCAGTGCCCGCTCCTGTTGTCACTCTTCCAGAATGCACAGATCAGCTCCTGCCGTGGCCCAGGTGTCTCCTCCTGCTATGGGCAGGTGGGAATGATTGGAAAGGTTAGTCTGGAGCCCATTCTTGGGTCCTGGGCTTGGGTTGAGCCCGAGGAGGGCTACTTTTCCTTTGATAAGTATTTACTGTGCAGCTACTTTGCTCTGTCCCCCGGCATGGCACACAATGAATGGGGAAACCACAAGTCCCTGCCCTTTTGGGGTTGGCATGCTAGTGCGGGAGACAGATATAAATAATAAATCTAACAAGTCAACTAGATAGCATGTTAGGAGGGAGTAGGTGCTATGGAAATAAGGAAACAGCATGGGGGAGGTGGGGCATAACTACAAATTGTAATTTTAAATAAGGAGATCAGGGAAGGCCTAAAGGAGGAGTTCCAAAGACTGGAACCAGGTAAAGGACTAAGTCAGGTGGGAGAAAACTGTCCCAAACAGAGGGTACAGCAAGTGCCAAAGCCCTGAGGCGTGTTTGAGGAAGGAGCAGAGTGGGGAAATGAAGGCTGCGTAGGAACTACTGTGACTTTGGTTAAGGGGTGAGCAGTAGGGCTGATTCCTCCCCACCTGAGGATTCACTCTGTGGGAGAAGGTGACAGGGGAGTCAAGTTTCTCTGTGTTCGTGTTGCTCAGAAAGACCAAGCTGACTGCCGACACGATCTCAGCCTGGGCACCGTGGACTGTACTTTGGTGGATCTTGCTCAGCTCAACTTTCTTCTCAGTCTCCAGCTTCAGGGAGGCATTGGCCAGCAAGTTCCGCATGTTCCAGCTGGAGAGGATGCCCATCACGGTGGGGCCTGGGGGTACACAGGCTGGCTACCTTCTCCTGCCTTCCCTCCTCCCATGCCCCATCCTGCCTCTTAAGACCTCTGATTCAGGCTCTCCAGCCCACCATGATGCCCCCAGGGGCCCTAGTGATAGCTCAATTTCCAGTTGTTAGATATTCAGAACCTCACCTCTAGCCACATCCCTGCTCTCCCACCCCTCTCCTGCGGGCATCCCCTTGGATTCCCTGCCGGTACCCGAATCCCTGGCTCCAGTCGCCACATCCCAGTTCAGCAGCATCCGTGCATGGCTCTGACCAATGGTGATGTTTCCATCCCCATCCCCATGCTCCTGGATCATCAGGGATAGCTCTGAGGAGAGAGGGGTAGTGACTGGGGGCTCTGGGTGTGGGATGGGGTCCCCGGCTGGGGCGGGGCAGGGCGAAATCTCACCTGTGTCTGAAGGGGAAACATAGGTGAAGGAGGCTCCTGGCATAGCCTTGGCCAGCATTCTCAGGACTGTTTCAAGGCCCAAGAGGTAGTCGGTGGCCATGCAGTGCCTCTCAGTCAGGGACAGGGTCTCCAGATCCCTGGGAGTCTCCAGCATCGTATCCATTAACTGGATGAGATCCTGGGAATGAGGGGTGACAGCTGGTGGGTTACTGTCCTGCAGGGGCTGCCCAAAGACCCTGATCTCACCAGCCCGCTCCACCAAGGGGCACACTGCAGAACCACCTGGGG